GTCAAAGCAAGGAAAGATTAATATCTATATTTCTCTTTCAACACAGTAGTGAATATTGTGACTAAAAAAATCAAAAACCTTAGTTAAAACTGATTAAAATCCTACTATTTACAAATAAAAATTGAAAATTGGCGTTCTTATTTATAATTTAAACTAAGGTTTTAGATTTTTAGTAACAATATTAAGACTGTGTTGAAGGGAAATACAGACATTGATCTCGTCCAAAAGCACAAATTTATCGTAATCTTTCCTTGCTTCGACTAAAAGAGACCTGACTTTGATATATAGAGTATTGACATACTATAATATTTATAGTGAATTTATACCGGAAATAGGAAACACAGCAATAGCAAACACGGTAATAGGAAATAACCCGCGAGCGAACACAGCAATAGCAAACACGGTAATAGGAAATAGCAAACACGGTAATAGGTAATAGGAAACACGGTAATAGGTAATAGGAAACACGGTAATAGGAAATAGGAAATACGGTAATAGGAAACACGGTAATAGGAAACACGGTAATAGGAAACTCGGTAATAGGTAATAGGAAATAGCACGCGAGCAAACACAGCAATAGCAAACACGGTAATAGGTAATAGGAAATAGCCCGCGAGCGAACCAAATAGTCGCCAGCGAACCCACTTTTTCAACACGGAAATAGGAAATAGCAATTACACTTCTGGGCTTCCGTAGAAAAGAGAAAAAAACAACCACCCACCCTTTCGGTCAACCATTTTTTTCCCTACCCAACTATTGCATGACTTGGATTTTTACTTACCCAACCCAATTTCAAAATTATATACACTATGAAGTATTTTACATACATACATATATATTATTTATACAAGCTAGGCCACTATACACTGTGTTAATAATTATTATGCAAATGAAAATAGCTTCGATATCTTCGACAGCATTTATAATACGACAATAAGAATGAAACAACATGAAATTTACATATTGGTTCCAATTTATACCAAGTGCGGTGGAGCATGGGTAGTTAACTTAGAAGTTATTGAATTGTTTGCATAAAAACCCCAAAATTAATGAAAATAATTATTATGCAAGGCTTATAAGTACCAGCCAAAATAGGATTCAGTCTGTTACAAGCGACCAATATGGGGCGTAAAACCGATCTAAAACCCGAAGAGAAGGATAATATTGTACAATTACTAAATCAGGGCAAAACCAGTCTGGATATTTCTAAATTAATACACATTGAGACCATTGTACAGTCAAAAGTTTTATTGCAAACATAAACAAAGTGAGGCAGCGGTCGGATAAAGGCAAGTTTCGAAAGATTTCTCGTCGGGAAATTAGTTCAGTAAAGAGAGCGTTAGCAAAAAACCCTCATTCAACCAGCTCCAAAATATTCAATGAAGCTGGAGTTCCCTCAAGATCAAGAGCTGGACGGTGTATGATTTTAAGGAGCATTGGGAAAATTACTAAACCAACAATTAAACCACCATTAAAACATAGACATAAGTTGGCTCCTCTCGACTGGGCTAAATCATACATGAAAACCAATTTTGAAAATGTTTTGTTCACTAATGAGTCACAGGCAACTCTCAACGGTCCAGATGGTTGGATGAGTGGCTGGTTACTACATGGTACAACTCCACAGAGCAAGATTAGGAGACAACAAGGTGGTGGAGGTGTCATGATTTGGGCAGGAATCATTAATGACGTGATGGTGGGCCCATTCCGTGTCCCTGATGGAGTAAAAATGAAAGCCCAATCGTTTGTAGAATTCCTGAAAAAAACTTCCTTCTCTGGTACAAAAAGCAACCATTAACACTAAAGAGAAAAATGATATTCATGCACGACAATGCCCCCTCACATGCAGCTTGTTACACTTGCGAAGCCCTAAGCAAGTTTGGGTTTAAGGAAGGTCGTTTAATGATGTGGCCAGCGTGTTCGCCTGATCTTAACCCCATTGAGAATTTTTGGTCATTACTTAAAAGCAAAGTGTACGAAAGTGGCAAGCAATTCTCATCTAAAAACTGTCTCTGGGAAGCAATTCAAAGCTGTGCAGCTGCTATACATAAGGATGCAATTAAAAACCTAACGGATTCCATGAACAATAGACTTATCAAAGTGATTAGTGCAAAGGGGGTTACATTCATTACTGACAATTAGAACCAGTATGTTTGACTTAATTTGACTTAAGGACAGGATTCCATTTTGATGAAGTGCTTATAGAAATTGTGTTACCTGCAATCATTACTTATTTTGAGGCCAGCTATGTAGTTTCTCTTCATTTTTTAAAGCCTGCTGTTTGATTTACGAAGGTTTGGATAAAGTAATAAACGCTTTTAATATTATTACATAATAATTATTTACAATAAATTTGGGTGTGAATGACAAACTATTCAATAACATTAAAATTAAGTTTTCAAATGACGATACAAATTGTTGAAGTATAACAAATTTGCTAAATTTCATGTTGTTTCATTCTTATTGTCGTATTATAAACGCTGTCGAAGATATCAAAGCTATTTTCATTTGCATAATAATTATTAACACGGTGTAGTATATAAACAGTAATATGCATATTTGGTGCACTAACTGAATGTAAAATATAATCATTTGTACCTGCACAAGTTCATATTATGTTCCCAAGTTCTTGCAGTCCTACTATGTCTCATTGTTGTAATCAGAGGGGATGGGGAGCTGGAGTTTAATTTTCTTTGTGGGGGAATGAATGGATATTTCCTGGAAAGACCCATTTTGTTAAATAAAGGATTTTCATTATTTTGTTCTATTGAACGTTTGTATTAAAAATAATTTACCCAACCATAGGCATTGTTCAAAAAATATTTACCCAACCCTTCTTACCCCAGAAAAATGGCTTACCCAACCCATTTCTCTTTGGTACCAACCCCGGGTATAAATAATGAACACTCCCTTAAGAAGATGCAGTCATCTTTGCTTAATCAGTTGAAGCTTAAAGTATAATCATAATTGTTACACAGCAACTAAAATCTAAATGCATAACTTGAATTTATGAAATATACAGTATATCTGCAGTGCTTTAGTAATTATTTGGCAAATTTATATATTACTGCACAAGTAAATACAGTCTTTGTGACCAGTGAAATAGTTCAAGTTTAAAGCCATAAAATGTGTTATATTCAAAGCATATAAAATATTGCTGTTGTAAGATTAATTATTGAGAATACATTTAGTGGATGTGTCAGAAAGATGAAGTAATCTTTTGATGGCAGATTAAGAATATGCAATCATCTTTGCTTAATCAGTTGAAGCTTAACCCATTTAGCTGGCAATGCGCCCAGATATGCACCCTACTTTAATATTTACTCTGTCTAACACCAGTACAGTATAATCATAATGTATTAGTCAATTCCAGCTGTGCCCATCCCCCCAGGCATTCGCTTCTTTTCCTCATCTCAGCTGGGTGGGGACATGACCAATTTTATCTGGTCCGAGAGTGGGGACTTCACAAATTTTTGCAAGTTGCTAGAATTGTGTAATAATGCGACTCTGTATGTTTTACACCTGCACTCAACGAATTTAATATTGGTTTTGGTTTGCAAACATGGGTTCTATGCAAATATTGGTTTTGGTTTGCAAACAGCAATAGAAATCTGTTTTTAATTTGATGGAACGTTGTTGCCGCGCCTGAAATGAACATTATTTCCCATGTTCCGAGATGAATTTTAATTTCGTTAGACAAATTTGATTTGTTTTGGACATTGCATTTAATGCCACCATTTTTACTTGAGTGAGTTCTATTTGTCTGAATAATGTGCTTACTAAAACACAAAGTTCATGAAATTTTGTCTTGCAATCTGGTATTGGATTTTTGTTGAAGGTACTGAATGGATGTAATAAACCGTTCACTGGACTACTGTCAGAGTGTATTCTTGTTGTACAAATTACATTTTTGTGCAAATTTTCCGTAATCAGCAGATCATATTAACATGTGATCATGCAAGCAAAAATCAGTCAAGCGATATGTTGTAAAATTTTAGTAATATTGTGTCCCAGGGTTAGGGATATAAAGGACCTGAATCTTTTGCACAGGGGTGGGGCTTTGGCACACTATCTCTTGCCTTGGGGTGGGGAAATAGCCAATTTTTCAAAAAAAGTCTAATGCCTGAGTATTGGCCAGGGGGGGGGGAGATGGGCACAGCTGGAATTGACTGATACATAATTGTTATATGGCCCATAATTTGGCCCTCAGCCATCTGATGAAGTTCAAGTTGGCATATAAAAGGATTTTGAACTATTAAAAATTAAACATATAAACTTACTGTAGTCATATATGGTCAAGCACCAGTGATATCATGAAAAATGAAGTATAATTTCTGCAATATCATTCTTTCATTTCCAGTGTTTTAGTTAAAAAATTTCACGCCATTTTAATATTTGATTCCAGTACGTAATATTATTTATTTTGATTCACCTAAGCCTGCGATTCTTTTAAACAGAGAAAACATTTCCTGGTGAGTACTCCATGTTCTAGGCTTTGTAAAGGTGCTAGCCTGATTGATCAATCACCCAACTTTTGGGTAAGATATACTATTAAATAGAGAATAATAGTGAATGTAAAGTTAAAATAGTGAAGGATCACTGAATAGGTTATGTAATGTGTACTTGCGCATTCAGTTTTCTAAAGGCATATTTGATGGAAAATACCTTTTGACTCTTGTACAGTACTGTAATAACTGTCTAATAATCTATTAAGTTTTAGCACCAGACATAGGCCGTGTTTATCTTATAAATCTTATCTTATACTAATGTAATATAAATCTTATCTTATACTAATGTAGGTAAGTTCATGTAAAATATATGTAAAATAGTTTTTTTATCCACATACCAATACTTCAGTGCAAGTCCTTATTTCTCAGATCCACTATATTGGGAGTAACATGACGTAGCTCGTGATTGGCGGAAACAAGCGTAAAATGCAAAGTATCCGTTTGGTTTTCTCATTTTAATTTGATCTCAGTAGTGTCATATGTTTTGGTTTAGTGTTTGTCCCGTTTTATTCTATTTAAAAGTAATGTGTTCTTATTGACTTTTCTCTCAGAATTTACTATTCGACAAGTCTCCCTTCGCTGCATGCTAATTCATATTTTACTCACACTATAGTGGAGCGAGTGAGCGACTCTACTTGGAGCATGTCTCATCACTCTAATTTTAAATTGTTCGTGTGTCAGTGTTCAGAGCGTTTGTTATTTGAACAAAATTCAAGAATTATGTAGTGAGTTGAACAATAGAATTATAGCAACTCACATTTCCAAACAAAAAATCGCAATTGGAACTTGTAGCATCTCGTTGATTTATATAAGTCGGGCCAATAGATGATTTCAGCCTCTCTGGTCGATCTTCCTTCTCCTTCGGAGACATCAAGGCAGATACGGGATGTGGGTAGTTGCTCCATACGTTGTGGGTAGGAAACACTTCTGGCATTAGCTTTCCTTAATTGTTAGATTGTTTGTGCTGGTATCATCAACTTGCTCAAAATGGTCAAATGATACCTTAGGATTAAGTTTTATGTTCCCTTGGGCATTTAGCACTTTGTAGGGCACTTAATGAATGTACTCGGTACGATACTCTCGTCACCTGCACACGATAAGGAACAGCACGGTGGCACATGTACGAAACGCTGTGGGGAGACACAACCTCGTCTGTGAATTCCTGCAGCTTAGTGAGAAAATGTAGGACGTACTTTTCTGGCACACAGGGTTCCTCAATTTTCGTCCATCGACCTAGAAAACATGCAGTTATGCATGTTGACGTTAGCATGCGCTAAATTTAGCTGTATGGCATTAGGCACTAGGGCTGTCTGATTAGTAAGAATTTGTCATTTCTTACCTGGGAGTGCTGGATGTAACACTTCGTTTACTCTTTCAGTTAAAGTGGTGAGCCAATTGTCATAATTAACAAGGTCATAACTCAAAATAACAGGCTTAAGCAACCTTAACAATCTTCTCGTTTTCTCCGATAAAGTTGACTGGGGCAATACGAAGCTGGTGGGAAGCCATCGCATGTCGCCAAACTGCTTTTGAGGATTTCCAGGATCTCGAACAATGGGGACATCTTACTGAACAGGAGAATCGTCTTGAAGACATGATTGTTACTGTATATGTGTGATTGCCTTGATATTTAAAGGCCTAATATTACTATTATCAAACAAAGCATGCGGTTCTGATTGTCTGTAACTTAATACTTCCTGGTTAACTTATTTCAATTAAGGAAGAGCCGGTATAACCTGATAAATTTTGCTAATCTTTGAGAAACAATAACTGACTAACTAATCCTACACTATTGAAAATATGCAACTGTAGTGCCTACTAATCATTAATCATTATTCATATATATTGAATGTGTCAGTGTCAGACCTGGCACATTTTATTATAAGCTATAAAACTACCTCGGAATTCACCTTCACACCTAAGGCTAAGCCGTTCTCAGGAAATAGCATTTTATTCGACAGCCACTGGTGGATTGGATGTCATTTTTCAACTTGAGCTTGGTTATGGCGAAGACGCAAAACAAAGGCTCCACCAGTGACTTCGCATGGCGCAAGAATTCGCTACAAGAGAAGCGAAAAATGAGAAAGAAAAGAAATGAGAGAAAAAAATGTGAACGGAAAGAAAGAAATAAAAGTTTAATAAAAAAGAAGGAAGAAAATGTTCAAGTGAGCTTGGAGTGTGCACAGACCGAGGCAATGCGTTACAAGAAATTGGCTGAGAAATATATGGCACTGTGGAAAAACGCAGCTAAACAGAAAGGCAATAAGGTGATTATAAACTATAACTGTTACGAAAGCCTAGCTAAATAGTTACGCTTATCCACCTGCCACATATTTTGTTTTGGAATTCACTATTTTGTATTTTAAACAGATTATAGAAACCCAGCCTCAGTAGAATATGTTATTAAGAAGATTGAACATGCAAATTTAACAGAAGCAAATGGAAATGGAATCGACTTGTTTGGGCTCACCAAAGGCGCATATTAGGGTGCATCATACGCCCCTACTGTTTACTATTAGCCCTACCTTTTTTTTGCTAGTGAGGTTCATCCTAAGTAATAAAACTGTGAAGTTTAGAATTGCTTGGACAATTTTTAGGGATAGCAGGTACCCCGTTCCCATTACGGCATGTACAATAGAATGAAAATAGCCCAGATGTGCAATATCTTAGCTTAAGATGACCATAGAGACTTTATTTTGGTATCAAATTATGCAGAATTCCCAAGTTTATAGGTCTAAAACCTTTATTTTACAAGTTATCCTTTATAATAGTCAAATTTGAGCATTTGGTCAGTTTTTGTATTACATTATGTTACACAACCAATTAAATTTTTCCGTATTTGTTAATAAGATTTCTAAGAGTAACTGTAAAATATGACTGGCATGTTATCCTCTGAACTGCACTACTTTTAGTTCTAAACAAATCTACCATTAATATAAAGATCATTAGTAGTTCAGTACATTTAAAGAATAAACTACGTAAATTATTTCCAACTAAACGAGACGTATACCTTAAAGAATGTCCGAGTAAAATCCACAAAGTATGGTCAGTACCTTAATAGTCCCAAAAATGAAGGTTTTTCGGCACTTGATGCTACCCCTTATTCGATACCTGTTGTGGAATAGGAAGACAAAATTGACACAACATCAAGCATCAATGGTACCATTATAGGAGTCGAACAAGCTTCTAAGCATATCGGTTGTAATGGCTGTACCAAACGAAACGTTGAAATTGTTGCTCCCAAAAAGGCTATCTGCCAGTCTTGCAAGCTACAACCTGTTCTATCCGCTGGACCCTGCGTATTCTGGTTAAGCCTAAAGCGGCTCCAAAAACGTCCATCTTCGTCTAGACAGCAATTCAACAGAGGCTTTACTGCAGCTCATCAACCCAGCATTCCAACTTGAAACAGCTATCGAAGATGTCATTGTTGCGATGATTCTGGAAAATTATCAAACCTCTCTAACTTTTACGTATGATGCGTTTACTTACCAAGTTAGCGAAGTTAGTCGTTCTACAGTTTAAACTGTTAACTTAGTTTGTTCTTTAAAAACATTGCATGCCGTTAACCTACTTAAAATGTTAAAACTGTCTACCATGTATGGTAGAACATTTCAAAGTTTCGCTGGCTTGTTTGTTCATAAAAAAACATTTATATGGAACTTGTGTTTCTTGACTTTAGTTAAATCATATGTGTTGTATAAGGCTAAAATAAGGGCGAAGGGTTTGTTGAGTTTTGTTTATTGTTGATTAAAAAAAGATTTGTGATGACTGTCATTGTATTTACTGTCCATTTTGCGGCCTATTAATATATATATATATATATATATATTGTCATCTTTAGAATGTTACCGTGTTGTTAACAAAAAATTACACATTTCGAACGCACATCGCTAATCTGTGATTACTTCTAGTAACTATAATTTGGTAATATTTGTAACTAAAAGAGCGAGAGCATATGTTTAATAATAAGTTATGATTATTAACTTAAAGGTATGTTGACTGGCTGGGGACAACTTTTAATGAGGAATTACCAGATGAAAACTGGAGGATAACAGATCCTCGCCCATCTGCTGTTAGGGCTACAACAGTGGATAATCGTGACAATGATTATTACAGGTTAGTTAATACTGTAGAAAGACACACTAGATGCAGTCCAGCATATTGTTTGAAACAGAAAAGAGTGGACCTGCTTGCAGCAGAATTGGTTTTCCAAAGCCATTACAAGAAGAAACAGAACTGAGTTGGTGGTAAGTAAGAATGCTAAGTCTGTTGAGTCTCAGTTACATACCAAACAAAATGATCAAAGGTTAAATTCGCATAACAGGGTGATGCTCAAAAACTGGCGGGCAAATGTAGATTTGCAAGTCATTGTAGATGAGAAGGCTTGTGCAAGATACATGGCTAAATATGCTGCGAAAGGAGAAGCCCGATCGAAATCAGCATCAGAAATACTAAAATTGTACATGTCCTCATTACAGAATGATGATAAAGTCTCCTCAGCCTTCAATAAAGCAATGATCCAAGTTGCTGGGGATAGAGATATGGCAGCACAAGAAACTGTGCATATGTTACTTAGTCTACCACTGGTTGGCTGCACATTTAGTTTTGTTACTATTTCTTTAGATAACAGCAGGAAGGTTAATATTGATGCAGAAAACGAAGGCGACAAGGTACTTCAAAAGTCTGCACTACAAGAATATGCAGAACGTGCAAAATTGAAGAGTAGGTATACAGGGTTGTCTCGGCTAAATCTGATGCAATTATGTGTCACAGTACACCAAAGTCAGAGGTGAGTTGACAAAATGAGCAAGTCCATACATTGTCAGAACATTTCCAAAGATTTCAGCTAATCCCACTAGTGCTGATTTTGGAAAATACTGCAAATATCAACTAATAAAGTTTAAACTATGGGAGGGTCAACCGTCAAATGCTTGGAACAATGAGGATGAAAGTAAGGAAATGTTTATTAAAACTTACGATTTTTTTTATACAGAGTTCATGATGCACAATGTGGTCAAACCACTAATCTGAAATAAGACTGGATAACGCATTTATAGTATACAAAAGTGAAGCCGGAAGTCACCGGCCGCCACCCAATTCTGGGGCCCCAATTTTGTATAGATTTGTATTACAGATGGTAGTTTTTCGCGTTTTTTTTTCTCCTTGGCTACGTTTCCGACCGAGCCAATTTTACAATCACAAAGATAGAAGCATACAAGAAGAATTTTGAGCAAAAGAGTATTATGGCTTTATAATGCTGCGAAACGGGATTTACAACTCTGAAGGAGTGGAGAGCCTCAGACTTTGTTTATCAACACAAGCTCGTTTTGCTACTTTCGTACAAAATCAACTCAAAATATACAAGAATTACTGTTACTGGATGAATGTTCTCACAAAATTTGAAGAAACTGAAGCAGCTACATTGTGAACAAAAGCGTACTGAGGTTAGTTTTAAAATACCTTGAGGCTACTTTTATAATTATACGAATTAAGGAACAGTTTTAAATGTCAATTTTGTCATGAGCATTCCCTGGCGACTTGTCCAGAAGTTTTATATGTTTTAAAGTAGGAAGACAAGTGACAATCAAATATTTTTAATCCAAATTATAAACAATGACTCAATATGTTGTTTTAATTCACATAATTATAAAAGTAGCCTCAAGGTATTTTAAAACTAACCTCTGTACGCTTTCATTCACAATGTAGCTGCTTCATTTCTTCAAGTTTCCTGAGAATATTCGTCGAGTAACAGTATTAAAATTCTTGTATATTTTGAGTTGATTTTGTATGAAAGTGCAAAACGAGCTTGTGTTGATAAACAAAGTCTGAGGCTCTCCACTCCTGCAGAGTTGTAAATTCCATTTCGCAGCATTATAAAGCCATAATACACCAAATTTTTTGCTCAAATTGTTCTTGTATGCTTCTATCTTTGTGATTGTAAAATTGGCCGGTCGGAAACGTAGCAGGGGCAAAAAACGCGAAAAACTACCGTCTGTAATACAAATCTATACAAAAGTGGGGCCCCAGAATTGGGTGGTGGCCAGTGACTTCCGGCTTCACTTTTGTATACTATAGATGTGTTATCCAGTCTTATTTCAGATCAGTGGGTCAAACCTTTGAAAACGATCCAAGTGACAATGAAGATGATGACGATGAAAGTGAAGTTGATCCTTACGAGGAGGAGGAAGTTGATGATTGGATGTGTTGTTGTGCAGAATTAACCAAGATTATGGGGAAGCAGGGAATGGGATGTCAGACAATGAAGCAGCGGATTGGTTTGAAATGGTAAGAGCTGTGCCTAGAGATTTGTTAAGGGAATCTCCAGGATGTATCTATAGTCAGAGAAAGGAGGCTGAAGAACATGGTCAGCAATGCCGAGAAGATGATCAACAATGTGTAATTGATCCAGAGACCTTGAATGAAAAACAACGGCTTGCTTACAACATCATCACATCTCAGAATGGTGATAATGCCGAGCCTGTTTATATGATTGTGTGTGGAACAGCTGGCACAGGTAAGACATACTTAATAAGTGCTGCGAAACAAGTATTAGGCACTCAACTACTGGGATTGCAGCCTTCAGCATTATTGGTCAAACATTACATTCTGCTGCTCAACTTCCTATCCGTGAATATAGGGATTTGCAGGGTGAATATAGAGGTTACAGCTGAGGCTGGAAGGTAAAAATTTTCTGATTATTGATGAAATGTCAATGATTGGACATAAAATGCTATCATGGCTGGACAATAGATTACATGCTGGTACTGGAAAGGACTATATCCCTTTTGGTGGTATGTCAGTAATTCTAATGGGTGATTTTGGTCAATTACCACTTGTTGGTGATACGCCAATGTATGTTTCAGGTACCGGAACGGTAGTTAGTGACCATGGACATAGTCTGTATCTAGAGTATGCTTTTAGAGCCTTGCTGATGAGAATGCAGAATGGAGAACTGATGGAGGAGGACTGGAAACTATTGTTGGAGCATTCAACAACAAATGTACCAATGGATCAATTCACTGATGTCATCTGATTGCACTTTGACAAGAAAAGTGTAACTGAATACAATTATGAGAAGCTATTGCAGCTTGGACAACCTGTCACGAAAATTCAGGCAAAACATTCTGGTCATGGTGCCAGTGCGGCCATGTCAGACGAAGCTGGTGGATTGGACGCTGTTCTGTTTTTATCCGCAAAAGCAGAAGTAATGCTCACTTGCAACCTGTGGGCTGAAGTTGGTCTCTGCAATGGCTCATTTGGCACTATCGAGCAGATTTGGTTTGCCGAGAATATGGGTCCACCAAATCTGCCAATAGCAGTATTGGTACACTTCAACAGTTACTCTGGTCCTGCATTCCTAGATGGATTTCTAAATGTATACCTGTGCCACCCAAAGTGTTTGAATGGGTGGCTGATGGAAAGTACCAAGGCAACAAGTGCCCTTGCGGTTGAGGTATGCAATGACCATTCATAAGCCACAAGGACAGACACTAACAAAAGCTGTTGTTGATTTAGGTAAAGGAGAAAAAGTTGCTTGATGCACATTTGTAGCTACATCGCGGGTGAGATCGATTCATGATATTGTGTTTGAACCTATGACATTTGATCGTCTGAAAGCAATTGGTAGGAGCAAAAATATGCAAAAACGACTCGAAGCTGAAGAGCAACTTAAAGTGCTTGCAGAAAAAACTGTCCAAACATAGTGCACGTACGTCATGAGTTGTCATTCAATAGTTGTGGTGTTTGAGCACCAGTATACTGGGCACATATAGTGTGCTTTTGAGGTTATTTCGCACAATAGACACTAGGTTACTAGGCACAATTTTAGAGGTGTAGTCTATGCCTTTATTATAGTGTTTTTGAGGTTGGCATTCAGAGAGTTTGTCATTGTCATTACCCATCACATTCCTTATTAATTATTCTGATTACACGTTTTTGAAGCAATACGATGCATTCGAGGTTAGATTGATAAGTTGAACCCCATACCAAAATACAATAATGCAAGTACGGATAGATTAATGAAAAGTACAAAGTTTTTAAACAAGATTTAGAGAGCAAAAAACTCGATTTGTAAATTATTCCAATTGAATTAGAAATTCAATGTGAGGTTAGTGAGATATGTGTAATATGAGGTTTCCAAGATAAATTTTCATTGAGAACAACTCCGAGGAAAACAACCTCATTAACTTGTTTGTTTTTTGTATTATTAATTTCTATACTAAATTCAGGTATATATCTCTTTTGCCTAGTTTTTATAATCATATAACTAGATTTTTGAATATTAATTGAAAGTTTATTGGCTTTAAACCACTCGGACAGCTTGAGCAATTCGCTATTAATTGTATTCATCATAAACGGAAGATCATTATGAGAAAGAAATAGATTAGTATCGTCAGCAAATAGGATAAAATTAAGAATACTGGAGACATTGCAAATATCATTTATATACAAGAAGAAGAAAAGTGGACCAAGAATTGATCCTTGGGAAACACCGCATTTAATTTCATTAGAAGATGATTGAACACCATTGTATTCAACAAATTGGTATCTATCACTAAGATAATTTCTTATCCAATCGAGTGCTAAACCACAGATACCATAATGCTGCAATTTTTCGAGCATATCTTGTGATTTACAGTGTCGAATGCCTTTGAAAGGTCGATGAAAAGACCAACAGTGAATTTCTTCTGATCAATAGAAGAGGTTATACTGTCAACCATATGCAGAAGTGCTAAAGCTGTCGAATGGTTTTTTCTAAAGCCATACTGGTTATTGAACAGAACTTCATTTTTGTTTATGAAATCCATAATGCGGTTACACACAGTCCTTTATAGTAATTTAGAAAATATTGGCAAAACAGATATAGTTTTAAAGTCAAAGTGGTGCGTCCTAGAGTGCCATGGTTCAATAATGATTTGATGCATCTAAAGGCAAGGCGACGAAAACTGGAGAAGAAAATGAGAAAAACCAACAACGTTTCTGACATATCAACATATCGAAATGTGTGCAATGAATACTGTCTCCTCCTAAAGAATACTAAAACAACATACTATAGCGATATGATAGAACACTGCGCAGGAGATTCAAAGAGACTCTTTCAAGTGGTAAGATCTCTATGTAAGGAGCGATCTGACAATCTTCTCCCGCACTCCGACCATCCCCGACAGCTTGCAAATGAGTTTGGTGAATACTTTTGCTGAAAAATCTCTCTTATTAGAGAGAAAATTGCGAGTTGCGACAGTACACCTCCAGACCTTTCCATTCCATCACCTTCTATTAGGCTCGATAAGTTTATTCAAGTTTCAGAAGTTGAAGTCCGCAACATCATTATGTCATCATCTAACGCTAGCTGTCATCTGGATCCCTTTCCAACTTGGTTAGTGAAGAAGTGCGTAGACCAACTAGCGCCTCTTATCACTAAAATGATCAATTCATCTCTGGAAAGCGGTACTGTTCCTGAAAATTGTAAGGTTGCGCTTATTGTACCAATTCTAAAGAAATTTGGTCTTGACTTGGTATTTATGAACTTTCGTCCAATCAGCAACTTGCCTTTTGTTTCTAAAACAGCTGAAAAGGTCGTTGTCTCGCAAATCCTTGATCATTGCTCTGCGCATGCACCTCTAGCTGCCTGTCAGTCTTCCTACCGTAAACACCACTCGACTGAGACAGCACTTCTCAAGGTACAAAGTGATATCCTCTTAAGTATGGATCGGCAAGAAGTTACACTCCTTGTCTTGCCAGATTTAAGTGCTGCTTTCGACACCATCGACCATGACATCATGATTAATTTGTTGGAGAATGACTTTGGTATAACTCAGAATCTTCTAAAGGTTCCACGTACTAAATGTAAAACTTTCGGAGACCGAGCTTTCGCTGTAGCAGGGCCTAGAGTATGGAATCAACTTCCACTTGACATTAGAACAAGTGCTACTGTGGACACTTTTAAGAACAGACTTAAAACTTATTTTTATAAATTAGCTTTTTTATAATACGATTATTAACTTTTTATATATTTCATCAATTAGAGACAACTAGATTAGTAGAACCTTTTTGTAATATGTTTTACATATGATATTATGTATTACTTTTATATTTTACTGTATGTAATGCGCTTTAGAATATTTATATAATTTAAGCGCTATATAAATAACTGTTATTATTATTATTATTATTATTATAGGTTGACAATTGGAGAATAGATTGTTTGGTCCAGATTTATAAATGGGTACAACTCTAGCGATTTTCATCTGGTCGGGAACTATGCCAGATTCAAATGACAAATTTACAACATGAGTCAAAGGTTTACAAATATATTTAAATGAAACCTTAACGGCCCACATTGGGATTTTGTCCCAGCCAACCGCAGTTTTAGGATGGAATGATTTAAAAATTTCGTTTAGCTCCAATTCCAAGACTGGTTGCAGAAAGATAGAATAGATAAAATTACAGTTAAGATAAGAATTTTTCGCTAAATTTTAAACCAATATTAGAAAAAATAATTACAAAATTGATTAGCTATTTCCATTGGGTCAGAAATATTTCTATTATTAGTGAAAAAGTTATAGGGTATTTTTTCTTGCTTTGTTCCCTCTCCTTTGTAATATCTTGTTTAAAACTTGCCAAGTTTTCTTAACATTTGTTTTCGCTAAGTTTAATTTTTCTTCATAATGAAGGTGTTTTGCTGTGTGTAACAGAGAACTTAACTTATTTCTATATTGTTTGTAATTTATTTCGTTTTGTGAGGTGGGAAACTTCAGAAATTTTTGATAAAGTCTGTTCTTTTTCCTAATAGATTTAAGTAAGCATTTGGAAATCCAAGGTTTTGTTAACTCATTAAGCGGCAAGCTGTTACAATGTTTCTACCCGCCTAAGGCGCAAGCAATATGGCGAATATGTGATTGAATTCAAGAGCTTTCACCAAAATGGCAATATCTCAGAAACAGTTGCATAAAAAAATCTGATCTTTTCAA